ACACCTTCACTCGTGTCCTCACCTTATTGTTTTAGTAGAGGTTTTACGGCGCTCACAACTGCTTAAGGTCATATGAGCGCAAGAAGATTAGAGGTCTTACAAGGTAAAAAAGAAGAAGGGGGAGATGAGGACGATAGATGTTTGATAGGAAAGAAGAAGCAAACCACACCAGTGCACCCGCCAACACCAACGTCCTTACCTTGTAAGACATTACTTTAGTGTATCATTCGTGTCTTTCTTCTTCTCTCCTACTACTACGAATTCCTTGTTCTGACTTTGGGCCGAATGCACCCCCCACCCTTTCCTAAAAGCATACTATTTGCATCTGGCGTGGAATTTCATTTCTTCAGAAATGACCGAAAAGTGAAGCATTATCATCATTATTCTCTTCTAAATATTTAAAAATGGGAACACTTCGTTCCATAAACGGATTCCAGACGAAATGCCAATAATATTGAAAGAGCGAGAAAAATAGATTCCCATCTAAATTTTGAAAGTCCACTTGTTGAGCAAACTTGGTATCAAGCCTTCAGAGTTGAAAGCTAGCTGAAGTATGGTCAAATTACAGCTAATTAGAGCAGCATTTGACTCAAGCACCTCCATTCTCATTATGCCTGAATTGAACTGTAATAAAACTTGAAGACAGCTGGTGAAAGTGAAAAGATGCACCCGCCCCCCTAAAAAAAAACAAAAAAAAACATACAACAAAAAACATAAAAACATCATAAACTACCCATAGATACAACAAAACAAAATTCGAAACGATTTCTTGTAACCCCCACCCCACCCCCAACCCTTTCCACCCTTCGCCCCGACTCCCACAAAAGACAAATAAATTATACGCACGTAAGCGTGCGCGCACATTCACACACACCAACACACACACACACACACACACACACACACACACACACACACACGCACGCACGCACAAACGCACACTCACACACACATTCACACAAACACGCCTTCACATACACATTCATACAAACACACACACACACATTCACACAAACACACACACACACACACACACACACACACACACACACACACACACACACACACACACACACACACAAACACGCAGACATGCGTATAATAATTATTTTTAACCCCCACAATTAATTCACAACTTTTCGTTCAGACCAAAGAACTATAAATCAATTTTGCGCGCTCAAAAAATTTAAATAGTAACGAGAGGAGAATCATGTTGTGATTTTAGTGCTATTAATAAGTTATTCTCTTAGAATTAGTTCTGCCTGCCTCCGACCCTGGCAGCCAGAGGCATTGACCTGCGTCGACCTGGCCTGGCCTCTGTGAGGCATCTGTTGACTTGGATAACAAAGAAAGTCGCAACAAAAATACTTAGCTATGGAGCACGGAGAGAGACGAGTTCAAAAGCAAATAGGACAATGAACTATGAGACTTTTATCTGGTGTTTTGAACGTGGTTAACTGAAGAACAGGAACACCTTCTTTGTCGGAAAGGAATGTTGGAAAGTGTTTTCTTGTTTGAGAAAAACATTCGGTTCAAAATATACAAACATGAATAAATCAAAACATGTACTGCACGTTGACAGAAAAAGAGGAAAAGGTGGTATTTAAGGACACATTTTGTTGTAAATTTAGCTATGCATCGCCTTCTTATTTTTGTATCTCAGGTACAGCGCAAAGAGAGCTGTTAATTTTTATTACGGCTTTTGAAGCCACGATCATTAACTATCCCTGATTCCTACCAACTGAAAATATTAGATGTGTCCTGCGCGCCCGTATGACCTTAAGCAGTTGCCAGCGCCGTAAAACACTTTACAAAAACAAAACAAAAAAAAACTATCCCTGTGGAAGAGCTTTATAAAATTTGGTAACTGTTAGATCTGTCATTCTATTAAGTTCAGTATTATCGCAAACTCCATCTTGTATTTGAACTAAAATGAATCGTTGAGCAGATAACTGGGCTATGGAATTGACATAATTATTGTTCATCTATTTTTAAAAAAAAGTGTTGATCTGTTTTTGAAAGTAATTTTCTTTGCTCTAACCAGTTAATGGTATTATCAAAACCAGGAAGGCAACCATGAATCTAACAAAGGAATCACAATTGTTATATAATTATTATGATATTGTGTGCTGATAGTTACTAAATTGCTTTTAATTCTTCGGCCGGGGTGCGACTTGTTCACTCGTCGTTTAAAAGAAACGATAATGTTTTTCCCGAAGTATAGTTTGCTTTCTTGTACTTTTTACTCTTATTTCTTGGCGGGAACAGTTGTCGTATCTATGCCATGTAGAAAAAGCTTTAATACTTCTCTTTTTTCCCTTTTGAGATTTGAAAACTATTATCAGATATCTTGTAAGTCCTCCTATTTTCAAATTTTAACCCGACCTTTTAGTGGAATATTACTTTTGTAAGATTGTTGTCATATGAAGAAGGATATTCATTGAGAGAATGGGGCCAGCTTTCGGGGTTAGAAATGGGTTATGTATTTCATTTTTTTCGG